GACGATGCTACAGGGGATGGGACCCCCTGCAGGCATTGCAACATGGAAAACATTTGTTCTTTTGCACCCACAAAGGGGGCACTGGGGATGGGTTCTGTGTGTGTGTGGTCAGACTCAGTTGTTTCATAACTCTTGCCACAAAGTACTAATGCAACACCCCCACCCTGGGGACGATGCTACAGGGGATGGGGACCCCCTGCAGGCATTGCAACATGGAACATATTTGTTCTTTTGCACCCACAAAGGGGGCACTGGGGATAGTGTGTGTGTGTGTGTGTGGTCAGACTCAGTTGGGGGATAACTCTTGCCACAAAGTACTAATGCAACACCCCCACCCTGGGGACGATGCTACAGGGGATGGGGACCCCCTGCAGGCATTGCAACATGGAACATATTTGTTCTTTTGCACCCACAAAGGGGGCACTGGGGATAGTGTGTGTGTGTGTGTGGTCAGACTCAGTTGGGGGATAACTCTTGCCACAAAGTACTAATGCAACACCCCCACCCTGGGGACGATGCTACAGGGGATGGGGACCCCCTGCAGGCATTGCAACATGGAACATATTTGTTCTTTTGCACCCACAAAGGGGGCACTGGGGATAGTGTGTGTGTGTGTGTGGTCAGACTCAGTTGGGGGATAACTCTTGCCACAAAGTACTAATGCAACACCCCCACCCTGGGGACGATGCTACAGGGGATGGGGACCCCCTGCAGGCATTGCAACATGGAACATATTTGTTCTTTTGCACCCACAAAGGGGGCACTGGGGATAGTGTGTGTGTGTGTGTGGTCAGACTCAGTTGGGGGATAACTCTTGCCACAAAGTACTAATGCAACACCCCCACCCTGGGGACGATGCTACAGGGGATGGGGACCCCCTGCAGGCATTGCAACATGGAACATATTTGTTCTTTTGCACCCACAAAGGGGGCACTGGGGATAGTGTGTGTGTGTGTGTGTCTCTCTCCCTCCCTCTCCTCTCTCTCTTTTTCTCTCTCTCCTTTCTCTCCTCTCTGTCTCTCTCTGTCTCTCTCTGTCTCTCTCCCCCTCTCTCTCTCCTCTCTCCCTCCCTCCCTCTCTCCCCCCTCCTCTCTCTCCTCTCTCTCTCTGTCTGGCTCTCTGCCTCTCTCTGTCTCTCTGTCCTCTCTCTGTGTGTGTCTCTCTCTCCCACTCTCTCTCTCTGTCTCTCGCTCTCCATGTCTCTCTCTCCTGTCTCTCCTCTCTCTCTCCTCTCTCTCTCCCTCTCTCTCTACTCTCTCTCTATCTCTCTCTCCTCTCTCTCTCTCCCTCTCTCTCTACTCTCTCTCTCTATCTGTCTCCCTCCCTCTCTCTCTCTCTCCTCTCTCTCCTCTCTCTCTCCCTCCCTCTCTCCCCCTCTCCTCTCTCTCCTCTCTCTCTGTCTGGCTCTCTGCCTCTCTCTGTCTCTCTGTCCTCTCTCTGCCTCTCCTCTCTCTCTCTCTGTCTCTCTGTGTGTGTGTGTGTGTCTCTCTCCCTCCCCCTCTCTCTGTCTCTCGCTCTCTCCCTCTCTCTCTCCTCTCTCTCCCTCCCTCTCTCGTCTGTCGCTCTCCATCTGTCTCCTCTCTCTCCCTCCCTCTCTCTCTCTCTCTCTCTGTCTCTCTCTCTGTCTGTCTCTCTCTCTCTCTGTTCTCTCTCTCTCTCTCTCTCTCTCTCTCTCTCTCTCTCTCTCACACACACACACACAAAGCTGTGCGCCGCCTCTTGCATTGAAGAGCGATCACCTTTTACTTTCTCCTTTTTGAGGCCTGCTCTCACACCGCGGCTCAGGGTGGCCTCGAACCCCTGTGTAGGCCGCTCTGGCCTCCGATTTGCAGCAACCCTGCTGTCGGAGCCCTGGGGAACTCTGGGATTATGGAGGTGGCTGTCTTAATAGTTTTTCTACGTTCGCAGCTCCGCCCTGCACATCGGAA